AGCTCAGACTCTGGCACAGGATCGGGAACGTTGGAAGCAGTCTGACGCGTCTGCCTCCGCGACCCGAAAGTAGAAGCGGCGATGGAAGATGAAGAAGACTGAAATAGGAATAAATGACACTTTAGCGAATTGACAGTTAGCTAATATACTGAACTACAAACTGGTGATCTGTGAAAGAAATAGATTGTTTATTAGGGTGTTAAGTTCTTTATGCGTTGTGGAATCGTTGCATTGCCCCAGTCCAAAAGTTTGACTGTCAAACTATGTGTGGAAAGTTTGCGGTCCTGCAGATGTAGTGTTCATAATGAATTGTTTTATCATTTGCGTTGAAAAAGCGACCTCTTTCTGATTTGGTTCTATGTGATAAAGATATATGATTGATTTGAACGATCGGAGTAATAGAAATAGCGCGCTTTTAACGGACTTCGGACAAATTGCACGTTTTCGGGTATGACATCATGTTTACCCAGTCGCAGAATGCACGTTTCATGTCAGAGTTGTGTTGTCTTACAGTGATTTTTTCATCCCACCTTGCAGTTGTTAAATCCTTGTACTTTTTAAACCTGATATGCGTTGTCTGCTTCTGATGAGACATATAATCGAGAAACCTTCTTCTTATGCGATATCCCAACCAGATAGAACAAGGACGAATGTGAAGATGGTGCCTTTCTGCGAATTCTGCTTCAAATGAAATCACTGTGCTCTCTCACATGCAAAATTGTTCTTTTGATTTGATAGATGCGCTATCTGCATGATCATCTTAGCAGAAATGAATGACTGTGATTCGTGAGTTTTGTTTTATTTATCATTTGTGCCATGACTACTATCGTAACTCTGTATGTGATGGGTTGATTAGCGGGCATGTTGTTTCGCTGGAAAAAGTCTTTTCTCTCGGTAAAACTGTTGGCATCTTATCCTCGGAAATGTTCAAACTTTCAAAAACTCATTTGAGTGTGATTCTCAATATTGTCGACGTCACGGTCGCTTAGCTGGTAGCCAAATATTATTGACGAAACTGCCGCCAAAGACTTGCTATTACCACGCCTCATTTCTTCCAACATGCGATCACTTGAAAATAAGTTCAATGGAATCGAGGCAACTTTACGTATGAGAAAATGCCCCTGAGTATTTAATATTGCCCTCTTACTGTTATTTCAGGAATCATGACTGCTGGACGTGTCATTCATAACTCTCTCGTATCCCTTCTCGGATTCTGGTCATTTCGTCTAGGCCGTTCGTCGAAGAAAATGTCCCGCGGCGGTAGGGTCATTGCCTACAGTCGACAGGAGTGGTTCGGCAATCCAGCTTTGAAATACATTTATCAGTCACAGTATTGTTTGCCTAATCCTGAGCTGCTGGATGCGATCCATGCCAAAGTTTCGATGTCATGGTGGAAAACGTTTACGTTGCTCCCTGCTATCATGCCGGCATGTTAGAAGAATTCGGTGCTTCTGTTGAATTCTTTTTTTGTCGGCCGTACATAACAATCTAATCACTTTGGCCGAAAACATCAATCACTGTTAGTTGAAGGCTCTGTAGCAACTTGGCTTCAAGAATTATGTACAATTCAATACAAGTGGTACTGCGGCGCTTCATGGGATGCTTGTAAACGCGTCTATATCGTTCGTTACTCGTCGTGTTGCACCTTTCAGGATTTAAGATCATTGTGTTGTTTGAATCTTACCTGTCCAGCCCGACTCAGATGCCACGCTCAATGTCAGATATAATACTCTGGCACCCGTGTTCGAAAATGGTGTACTGGTGGGACATTAGCCTAGAAAACGCAGAAAACCTGCGATGATTCATATTCATTTTCGATTGCTCTAACTTGTCAGTACTCTGAGGAATGAAAGAACCACGGGATACAGCTGTCAGACTGATTTCTACTGTCCTAAATGACAATTTTGATATATTTTATCGTACGAAAGATCATGTTTATGAAACGCCGTGTAACATCAAAGGCAGTCTTGTACCTTCGCCATCAAAAGGATAGAACATATAAAATTGGTAACAGTAATCTTTGTCACACCATTTCCGAAAAAAGCAGGCCAGAGGTGAGATCAAACGTTGGAACGCACTGTAAGTGAATCATTGTGCAAATGTGGACTTGTCTCAATGCTCAGTGGCTTTCCACATGACTAATTCGACGTGTCGCTGAGTCAGCAGTCGTGTATGGTTTGAAAATGGTGAATATCCCAACACCTCCTCTTTTTGACAGCTTAGGTCAGTTTTGTCACGCTACTAATCCATCAGATCCAGATTTGTTCATCTGTTGCCTCACAGATGGAGCTCTATAGGAAACATTAATCCCAGCTTCAGCACGCATTCTCAGGGACTTCGACACAGTAAAACAGCATTATTCATCAATACCCAATGTAATATAGTTTGTTTTCTCTTCTGGTGCTGTATCTTGTCATGCTATTTGTTGTTCCTATTTTATTTTGTTTTCTCTTATTTACCATTTTGAAAAATGCTTTACTCTGTAATAGCATTCGAGCAATAAACCTTCAACTTCAAAAGGAAGTTGTTTTTCACGTCAGGAATTGAAGGACAAATTTGATGACATTCCGGTTTTGATTTCATTGTTTACCTTTCTCTGCTAGGGACAGTCAGGAAACCGACGCGATAAACATACAATAAGGGGAGAAGAATTGTTTATTACTGCAGATGGCGAATATACCGTGTGATGTATTGAAAATATTTTATCGTTTTGTTATTCTGTTGAAGTTTTTTTCACTACTCAAGGTGGCATCGAAATTTGTTCTTTTTCGCTTTATATGTCATTTCATGTAGTGTTCTTGTTGTAGATATGTGGATGATCATGTTAAAGATTTTGTTGAAAGACTGCGACAGGCGGTCGCGATCGAGAGCGTCTCGGCTCTTCCGGAAAAGCGTCCCGAACAGACGCGCATGGTGGAGTTCGTGAAGAATGTAAGTTGGCACGATATCGAATTCAGCTATACCCTTTGCCTTGACGCTTTTATATCTGCAGCATCTGGAACAACTCGGAGCTTCATGCGAAATGTGCTATCCAGGAATCCAAACGATGGACGACGGCTCAAAAGTGCCGATCGCGCCTATTCTTTTCGGCAACTTGGGTAACGACAAAAAGAAAAAAACCGTCTGTATATACGGGCATTTGGATGTACAACCAGCATCAAAGGTAATCAGTAATCAAATTTATCTATAATCCATAAACATCTCACAATGTAAATATCGAAATTGCTGAGCGATGATTCATGCGATATCGTGGTAGAATGTCAAACAGATCGACTTTAAACTCTGAAGATACCGGGCTGGAATCCGCTCAAGGCTAACTTTTGTCTCAACCTCGATTTCCATTCAGCAAGTAATTTAGACCATGTTGTTTAAACGTAGTTCAACCGAGAAAGGAGCAAGAAGTCGGAGGAGGACTTGCGAATTATATAGACAGAATTATATTCAGATCTGGTTATGCTAAAATAAACGAAATGCATTGACATACTGTCTGATGTCAACGCTTCCTGTCGCTGCATTTCGCTTTGACTCACCTGACAGCTTGTTATCTAATGCAATAATCAGTACAAGGTGTAGCCCCAAATTCGATTCAGAGCCATTATTGTTCACATATCAGCAACGGAGCAAAATTTCAATAATTTAATTAT